CTTTAGCACCCAGCATAATGCTTGTACACAGTAGGTCCTCAAGAAATACTTCTTGCGTTGAAATAGAAAAACAGAATATTACCTGAAGCATAAAGGATGATTATAAGGTGTAAAGGTAGGTACATGAGAATGAAGCAAACAAGTTCTGGTGGGGAAAAAAAGGGTGAAGGATGAAGAAGTCAGAAGTCTGCAGTTGTAAGGACAGCACTAGTTAATCTGGTTTGAGGATGACAGTAGCTCAGACTCCAAAGGCAAACTTGAAAGACTAATTAGAATCGCTGCAGGCAGAGGACATAAGGAGTCAGTTCAATGCTCTGGAAAGAGCTCCAGTAAATTTTTGACAACTATAAAGCCAACTAACGAGTTGTGAGGAGAGTACTGTAAGTGCCACCAGCTATAAAACATCAATAAATCTATTACATTTTTGAGGTGAGTCTTCAGATGAGAATCAGTGTCTTAAGTTACACCTTGCAGCACTCCACACATAAAATTTAAATCAAAACTACTCTTGCCACCCCGTCTTACTTAAGTTACACCTTGCAGCACTCCACACATAAAATTTAAATCAAAACTACTCTTGCCACCCCTCATATTAATCTAATTCCCTTTTCTCCCTGCCCTCCAGCTTCCCTTGCATACTCGGTTCCACTACAACTGCAAGCGTGTGGAAAATTTTCTCAGGTCTTAAACGTGGCTTTCAAGTTTTGCGTACATCGGTCCTCCTCTAGGAACGTTCATCGGATTGGTGACAGATCCTGCTTTTCCTACTAACCGTACCGACGCGGCTGCAAACCCAGACCCAACTCGCAGGGTGCTCTCTGGTGCGCCACCCAGACAACCACCCACGCGGCGTCTCCCGCACCTCCTCATCCCTCCCCTTCCAATTGCTCCGCACCCACGGGGGAACCTTGGGGTCCACGGGGTCGAGAAGGGCGCCAGCACCACAGGTCATTATTGGCCAGCTCCTGGAGCTGACAGGATATGCAGCCAATGAGAACGCGATACCGGGAAGGAACTGGGTAACGTGCTTAAGGAGAGGGGCCTTCGAGAAAAGAACGAGATTTGGACAGAAAGGTCGGGCTCTGCGAGCTCAAGTAGCCAGGCGAGTGGCGACTGCGAGTCAGTGGGACCAGAACTCACCCACAGCGACAGCGCCCATAACTGCGTCCCCTAATGGGCTTTAGGGCTGGACAGCCAGCTGCGTCTTCCTCCGGTGACAGAGAGCGACAGAGCCAAAGCCAGAGTGACCGCTAGAAAGCAACAACTTCCGGAACGCGGCATCATGGGAAGTGGCTCTGCCCCAGCGTCCCGCGGCTCCGCAGCTAGTTAGTCGGCACCTGCGCCGGAATTTCGGGCGTAGCGGCAGTGTTGTGTCCGGTTGTCAGAGTTTTACCCGCACGGGGGGGAAGTATGGAATTACTTAAATGCTTATAAAGTGTGGGTACCTGGTGGTGGTCTGAAGCTCAGAGCCCCCTGGACGGTTACTTTCTTAAACATATTACACCAGAAGGCTAAGAGGGGAACATTTAACTTTCAGT